TATTTCCAGTAAGTTACTTTTTTCTATTTGCAATTAGCATGTTGGATAATGATTATCTTATAGAATACATGCATATAAAAAAACCAAAGTCCATACCAACATAAGTTCGCGAGTACTTCGAAATGCTTGAAGAGCTCTGCTTTGACGGCGAACTTTAGTGAAATATACTTAGTCTTAACACGCCTCCCTAGATGGAAAAAGCAAAGCCTCTTCAATGCAGTGTGACGTTCTTAGCCCACCAAGCCTTCTTATTTTATTTTATTTTATTTTATGTCATTTTATTTTATACGATCTGTCATCACGTCTACTGCTGTGAGGATCCTAGCACTTCTCACATTCAATGAGTTCCCTCGCCTCTATTGTCCACCAAGATCTCCAACTTTTAAGTGTGGCTTGGATTCCTGCTTGAGGATTTTCATTTCATCTTGAATGTCGTAAAGTGCTGGTCAAGCATTTCTCCCTCGAGTTTTTGCATAGCCAAGCTGGAGGGTTCCCCACTGGATTGCGGAGAGTGATCTCTTCCCAGACAAGTCCTATACCAATTCACCGACCCCGGAGGGATGAGAAGGTTGGTTGGCCCGGGGAGGAATCGAACCGCCACCATGCACGTGACGACAGACATCACTACCACTGTGCTATCTGTCACATGTCATCTTTTCGATGAAAAATTATATTCTACTGTCTAAAGACTAAAATTATTCATTTTTTGCTGTGTTTTTATCGCGGCAAACTTGTCTAAGACTACAACCGAAACGAAATGAGTGTCGTGCTACGCGGTAGCCACGAAAATTTGACTTTAAGGAGTAATGTGCTGAAGTTAGTCTAACCATTACATCCGTAATGTTCGTTGATTGTGAAGATATCAGAAAAAGAAATCAATTCCGATCCCATCGTTTTTTGATGAAACGGATTTCTTGCAATCATGGTGGGCAGCTGGTTGATTGAACCACTGAAAAATACAACACCGCTTACAAGTAAGGCAACGATCGTAAAGAAGAGGAGAAGAAAATGCAAACCTTAGTTCTCCGTAGTGCATGACACTGCCGTAGTCGTAGCTGAGTCCGTAGGTTTCGGTGTAGTTACTGCTCACTTTTGCGAATTCACCGATGTGATTTGGCTAAAGCAATAGCACTGCTTTTTCAAGGAAGTTCTTTATTAATTTTCTCACAACAGCATACGTCCACGTTTCCTTCGACGATCGTAATGTATTCGTCACGATCATATCGCGACATTGTGTGGAGGAGTCCAAGAACATGGCCAATCTCATGCACTGCTGAACCTACCTGAAGCAACTGCCATGACCGACTTTCTATTAACCACGGCATTGATCAAGTGATTTTCTTCGTATTTTTGTTGAGCAAACGCGAGGTGTTACTATTCTTTGTTCACGATAAAGCTGACGTTTCGGCAGATTTTGCCTTCCACAGAGCCTGGAAAGGTCAAGTTGATAGCAATCCACTCGGCCAGACGCCTCCATAACCAAACAAAGAAACTCTAAACCAAGATTTCAATCACGTTGAACACAGCTTTGCACACTCACCGCTTTCTATGAGGTTTCCACTAAGTACGTCACGTAGAGACCAACCGCACAGAAATCACATGGAAGCATAATGTAATGTTCAATGTTCATAATGTTCAACGTGATTGAAATCTTGCTTTAGAGTTTCTTTGTTTGGTTATGGAGGCGTCTGGCCGGGTGGATTGCTGTCAACTTGACCTTTCCAGGCTCTGAGGAAGGCGAAATCTGCCGAAACGTCAGCTTAATCGTGAACAAAGAATAGTAACACCTCGCGCTTGCTCAACAAAAATACGAAGAAAACCTACCTGAAGCATTTATCTTGCTTTTGGCGAGAAATGAGAACCTAACTAGAAAACATGGAAAGAAAGTCAACTAGTCAGTTGTTATTTTAAGAGCCTTCAATTTGAATCGGTAATAAGTCGAATCACCGTCGGGCGATCACCAAGAGAAAGAAATTGATCTCTGCCGAGTCGTCCAGTGCTTGACCAGCTTCCGTTTTCATTGACCACAACCACCTTGTCCTTGGTTGTAACTAGTCGAGGTGAAAAAGCGGTTCAATTATTGATGTACCCACAACGAACCATTTTTGTCTTCTATAAAGTCGATGCAGGTGCTTTCACTCCACACCTTTACGCCCATCCTGAACACCTTTTGTACGACGTGGTCTGAATGTTCAACATTTAGACTGAACGCATGAAAGGATTCTAGTAGAGAAGTTGAAAAGAATCGACAGATTTCCTGGATAGCAGGGTGAGGAGGAAATGGTTGTAAAGAAAGTGAAATTCGCCGAAACCTTTGTTATCCTGAGAAAGGTTTGGTAGTGATCACTTCGTATCGTCTGTTTAGAAAAATGGCAACTTAACAAATTAAAAGTTAAACTTTTACTACATTCTTTCTTATGACACCATTTCTTAATTCATCGTATATCGTTCTGCCAAGATCACTGTGATTATTCAGGAAAACTCAATAAACCGTATTTCTATAAATTTCGACATAAATGGTCGATATATCTATGGATTTCTCCTACCAGAACATATAAAGGATAAAGCTGTCGGGTTTATCTCTCCTTGAGGGTGCGCCATGCATTCGATTTCACCAAGCACCGTTGGAGGTGATTGAATGCATACTTGGCCTTTACAATGACTCGCGATGGCCTGCCGATAAATCGAGCCAGTGCTGCAATCCTCCTAGACAAGTCTGATACCAGTTTTCCGAACCCGGAGGGATGGAATGCTTGGTGAGCCAGAGGTGCAGGATCAATTTCATGTGTGTGCAGCAGGGCACCTCCGATCAATGTGCCACACGCGTCCCTTCTCGCCAAATTTTCTATAATAGGTATACTCTTTTTTGAATAAGGTATTAAGTTGTAGTTCTCATGCTCTCATTATATTTGTATTCTCCACTTCTCACCTTTGCCTATTAAATTAATTAAATCGTTATTGCCGTATCATTGTGGTGCATATACAGAACTCTAATTATCAAAGTTTGAGGTGGAAGTGAAAATTCCTCGCCGTAATAAATTCGAAGACGAGCATTCAACTCTGAGTGCACAGACATAGAAAGGAACCGTTCAAATCAACTAGTCTGCTCCCTGTTGTGCTAAGTAATACACTGCCATCATATTTGATACTCGATACCTGAATGGCCCGTCTTCATTGATTGCGCGGGCCGCAGCATAGCCTCCACTTTTCCGAGATTTGCTGGTCAAGCCATTGTGGTTCCCTGGAATCCTGAGGTCAGCCTGGCCAAAGCCTGCTCCAGGTCTTCACCATCACAGGAAGTCGCAGCCCTTGTGGATCAGAGAAAGATTTACCACCATGCTACTAGTTCCATACCAAGACAGTGGAGGATACTGGTATTAGTTTACTCCTAGCTGCGCTTTTTGATGGAGATGTCGGGCTGCTCCTCAGCTTTTGAGACCCTGTTTGGAGAATAAATCCTCTTTATACATCGCAGTCCGACCCCTAGGGGACACCTGCCAGCCACGATGAGGCGGTAAACTATTGGGAGCACATTACCAAATAGTAATGAAAGCCTAGAAACGTGAACAGTTTGGCTCATTATCCTTTCTCCCACATTTTAACACAAAAAAGCACTTGTATGAAAGATGTTCCGAATATCCACCTGTGTTTGATTAGGAGAAGAGCAGAAGGAAGGATCCTTGAAATTTCCGCGAAAAGTTGCCATTTTCAATGGATACAAAACTGTAGCTCCTTAAGATAAGTTTAGTGCATGATCCACGTCTCCTAACCATGTTTACCGAGAATAAGGGCGCGTTTTTCTGCCCCCATTTCCAGCGAAACGAACACTACTATAAAACGTTGCTAAAAAGGGCTGATCAAGAGGAATCGGTGGCAGTAATTGAAATACAATAGTACACTCATGGACGTAAGCTAGTTCGTAACCGCCTATATGACAGGTTGCGCACAACGCGAAACTGCATAATATCCTTTGACGGTAGTGGCGGTGATTCCATGTGTTCGGGTACTTTTGTACATAATCTCTTGTAAACCGCACAAGGACGAATACATTGGCTAGTAAAGTTAGAATAAAATACTTCACTAAGCGCACATGGAAAATAGAGACATAGCAGCGAAGATTTTTAGGTAGAAGTGGCCATTCTGGCAAGGTATTCGAAAACTTGGGTACGTAAAACGCTCGAAGAATTTCGGATAAATTTCTCTAATCCTAGAATGAACCATAGGTAGGAGTGCCTCATCGACACGCTAGATTCTACAGTTTACCTCAAGTTGATATTTTAACGTGAGAGGGTCTCATTATCTATTCATGTGAGTTCTGTAATGGTCGCTCTCCACATGGAATACTCAGTGAAAATTTATGGAAAATGGTGATGAGAAGAAGCAGCTTTATTTCCGGTGCGATTGAAATTCAGGTAATGTGGTTTTCTTTTTTTGGCGTTATGGAGGCATTTAGCTAATCAGATTGCACCCAAATGAAACTTTCCAAGTCTTGAAAAGAGTGATACCCAAAAAGATAACCCGAGAAATATTTTATAGTGAAATAAGCATTGCAGTATGAACATCGTATGCACTCATCAGCAAAACAGTAAATTATTAGTAGCTGGTTTCATTCTGCAATGAAAAGTGGAAATTGGAAGCACAAAGTCGACAATGAATTTCTATTAGAACCAACCTGATATGTTGAATGTGTAGTAAACGCCGTCCTTCCACATTAGGTTAGTACTGGAGTTGCCCTTCAACACCTGTCTCTTCGTACGATCACCGGTTTCAACGTCGTTTAAGACTTTGCCGACTTTTCTGCTGATGTAAGCCAACTTTAAGTTATAGGAAATGCCACACCTTATAAATTTCCAATGTGATAAGTCACTCTGTTAGATTAATGTCACTTCGAAGAATAACTCGTGCTACTCCCCGCTTAGAACTGATTTCAAAATTCGAGTTCTCGATGTGTGGCCCGTAACCATTCGTTTCCGCATTGACGTCCTGGAATACAGACATCCTTATTCGGAACTACAAGGACCGAAACATTGAGTAATGTGTAAGAACACTGCCTTCAAGGATTCGTTAGTTGTGGTATAGTCCTTCTTGTACTCTCCCATTTGTTCCACCTGTGTTTTGGAAGAAATGTCTCGACGTAGAGAGACTCCAAGGCAATTCTTCATCTAAAATCATTAGCAAACATTCCTACTTCAGTACACAAGTGTCCAGTTGCCTTAGCACCTCAGCTTTTGTGAGTTCACTCTTTCTGGTCTTCTGAACATCTTCACAACCGGTGGAAGTGCCGACATTCAACACTCGACAGCGTGTCATTATCATAGCGGCAGATAGTAGCAGAATGGTTCTCATTTTGAAATAGCTGAAAAACGTTCTCTAAATTTCAATGCTAATTCGGCATGAAGAGAAATTCTGACAAGTGTTACTGACGCTATCAACCGCTGCCACGAAGTTGAACATAAAATTTTTTATGTTCTTGTTTAGCAAACTCGAGGTGTTATTTTAATTCTTTATCTACGTATGAGCTGACGTATCAGCAGATTTTTCCACCTTCAAAACCTGGGAAGTCAGGTTGACAGCAATTCACTCAGCCAAACACCCTCATAACCAAACAGAGGAAATGCTAAGCCAAGAAATTTTTTAATAAACCACTAATTTCTTATCATTTAGTGGGAGTATGCTTAATGCATAACGCTAAGCACACTAAAATAAACGGGCCTCATTCCTATGGTTTCACCCGATCGGTAGGGTGGGTAGGGTGAGCACGGATAGGCCGCTAAAACCACGGTGCCCTTCTACCTCACCTAAATCGCAGACTGCTAAGGTTGCGTTCTGTACCAACAATGCACACCCAGTTGAATCTATATCTGAAAGAGCACTTTGTCTTACTTTTATCGATTCAAGGAAAGTTGTTTAACTCATTTAAGATAGAGGCAGTTATGGAAGCTCTGAACAGCCATGATGTTTTTGCTTATTATATAAGGATTCTTCTGGAGCTATATAAAAATCTGCAAAAATCTGCAGATAAGCTCCATGCCCATTGTGGAAGAGACTGGCAAGCAACCCGTGAGTATATCCAGTCCTCACGTCTAAAGCTCAGCAAGCTGTACGTGGATATCGAAAAGCTATACAGTAAAATAAAAACCGTTATACCTATAACCAGAAAAGACCCCTGATTCTGCAGTATTTGGCAGCAGAAATACGGAGAGGTTGCCAAAATCCCAGGACCAGTTTAAGCTGCTTAGATCGCAAAGAATCTGTACTTACAATGCACGTGCACTTGCATCCCAGTCTTCGATGAAACATTTGATGAAAGAAAGTTTAGGTACGACATCATCGGCATAGCCAAGACGATACGACGCCACCCATTCAATGCCGTCTATGACACCGGAGAAGAACTGTTCCTCGGAACATGAGACGGTAGAGGAATCGACGGCATTGGCGCATGAGTCAGCATTGGTTTGGCCGTGAACATCGATTCATTCGAACAACTAGCAACTAGAACTGAACGTTTACGACTGAAGAGATGTGGGCCAATACCAGCTTTGACAATATTCGTCATTTACGCGCCGACGTCAAAAACGAAGAAGAAGTCGAAGCGTTTTATATGGACTTGGAGAAGCTCCACAGATAAGGTCATACAAACTTCAAGGTCATCATTGGAGAATTTAACGCCAGGATTGGACCCAGAAAAACGTCTGAAGGACATCACATTGGTAGCCACGGAACGAGCAGAGGGAGCGGCTGTTCGAGTTTATGACCGACGAGCAAAATCATTTACGGCAACTCACAATTCCAGAAGCCCCCACTGAACACCGGAGGTAGGAGTCATAGACAGTACCACAACGATGTAGACCACACCACTGTAAATCAAAGCTCTTGCTTCACCGATGTCGCCGTTGTCCCAAAATTCTACATACGATCAGACCATCGCCTCCTTCGTGCAAGATTTCATTTCTCGCAGAAAGAAGAAAAAGTTGATAAATTCCAAAACCAAAGTCTCAGAACCACCGAAAACTGGGACTTTTTCAATTCATTAGTCGCTGCTGGGAAGAAGCCGTTGTCGATAACATCGATGAAGAATACGACCGGCTCATTCAACATCTTCACGCTAGCGCTATGAAAGCTCAGAATTCGAAGGTCACCAAGAGACGTCTGTGACTAGAAACACTCGAGCTGATACGTCAGCGCGTAATCGGACGAGATGCAGGCAAACGCGAACGTACATCAGAACTTGCGAAACGGTGCGGACAGGCGTTTAAAGAAGATCTTAAAGAGAGAACAGTAGCAGTAATGGTCGAACTCATACAGGCTGGGAAAAGCATTCGCAAAGCCCGCCGAAACTTCGCCAATTAAGAACGACAATGGAGGAATGCGTTCATGACTACCGTTCAAATCTCTTCAGAAGTTGCCTCGTTCTCCCCAATTGAATTAAGAGAGGTTTGATATCTCCTGCCACTGGTTCTTTCTTCCGAATTCCGCCATGATATTTTGCCATTGGAAAATGGAACAGCACCAGGTCCGGAGAGAGTAAAACCAGAAAAACTGAAGAAACTTTCGCCAATCCACGTTAACATAGTGGCATGGCTTTTCACGCACTACCATCCTGAACGCAAGGCTGCTACTCAGTGGAAGACTAGGAAGACCGTGCTATTGCCCAAGAAGGGTGACCACCACGATAAAGACAACTATCGCCCAACCTCCTCGCTCTCTGCCATCGACAAACTTTTCGTTCAAGTCGTCCTAAACAGGATTGACAGAACACTGGACGAAGGGCAACCATGTGAGCAAGCAGGGTTTCGAAAAAGATTCAGCACGATGGACCAATATCTACATCGATATTAATATCGAGGTCAAAAGCGGTAGGCAAGGCGATACCGTTTCGTCAAAATTATTTACCGCGCAATAACCACACAATAACAAGACTCTTTGGAATTTTGCGACTGTAGAAAAGACCGCTTTGTCCCACTTTTGCAGATTTTAAGAAGGTTTTCGATTCAGTTGAGATAAAAGCAGTTACGCAAGCTCTCGAAATTCAGGAAGCCTCCACTCAGTACATGAAGATTCTTCGTGAACTGTATAGGAATCTAACAGCCAAACTATCTACATCGATATTGACATTGACGTCAAAACAGGGGATAGGCAAGGCATACCATTTAGTAAAATTATTTACCGCCACCCTCGAGAACGTCATGCGAACATTGGCAGGGGATAATATGGGAATAAAATTCCATGGTCAGCAATTACACTACCTTTGCTTTGCTGATTACGTCGCTCTTAAAACACAAAGAATTAGTCAAGTCGAACGAAGGTCCACAGTGGTAACACCTGTGAAAAGATTGGTCTTTGACTAAATCTCACAAAAATGATGTTTATGAGGAACAGACTGGTTACGCATGTCCCATTCCCGCTTAATAGATCCGTACTCTCCAGCTACGTCTTTCAAGGTCGGGAAATCAACATAATCAACGACTTAGCTCCAGAGTTGAGCAGAACGAAACAAGCGGTTTGGACAACTTCCAAGAGCGTCAAAGAAGCAGTGAAGAGAACAAAGAACACGTGACCACGTGCCCATCTTTTCGACTTAACAGTACATCTTGCCTTAACGTATGCGTAAAAATCCTGGTTGCTACTTAAGTAGGATAAAAATTGCCCAGCGTTATTAAACCGTAGTCGAAAGAGCGATGCTAGGAGTCTCCCGTTTCACCCAAGTAAGGGATTGGATCCGAAGCTTCGACCCGCACCAACAACCAAGAAGTAAAGATGCCGCTCTGTACGCCAAATTGTGGAAGATGAGGTAGGCCAGACACGTAATGCATAAGAGCGACAACTGATGAAAGAGAGTTGTTAATGACTGGATTCCTCGGGATGTCAAACGTACTCTAGGAAGACCACCGACACGATTGAAAGAGTTCTTCATAAAAGGGCTAGAAGGAAGGTATGATGCTTAATGAGTCCCTGAAGCAATCAAAACCCGCTGGGTCACCCTTGCACGCGAAAGACAAAACTGGAAGGTTTACTGACATCCGCTCGAGTCTCTAGACCATCAACGGAACTACAGGTGGCACCTTGTGCAGGTGGTCTACAATAACAACTATTTAAACATATTCTAATGTTGATTAGATACGATCCAACGAATGTAGGTACTCCACAGCAACAACTTTTTAAACACGTTCAAATACTGAAACCTTTCAGAATGGATTGCCAATATTTTGCCACGCTGAGGTAGCCACAGTAGTTCACAAGTTTTAATTCCATGAAATCAACAAAAGAACAAAGCATTTAGGCACCGTAGGAAGGAGGTACGGTAGGATGATATTGCGTTCAAGGGTGGTGACGCTGACGATGTACATTCGTGCAATTCACTCAATTTAACGCGTGAATGAATGTTATAAAGTGCTTGTGCAGCTTAATGATCAAGCATAAATGACTGTACTTTTATTTGCGATCGGAGCAAGAGATTTCTTTTCCTGCATGTTCTTTGCAGCCGTAGCTTAATACACTCAAAGTCAAACATACAGACCTCTATGGATAGCGTTCTATGCTCACTTCACGAGTTGCCAGTTGCTAAGACTCGATACCAGAAAGATTTTCTTCTTCCTACCTGTTTCTTCGTTTCTGGGGTGGTGCAGTGGTTACACAGGATAGTTCCTATTATTAGATGGTGCTGGATTTGTTTCAGAGGCCAATCGACTTCTTCATCACTCATGAGAAATGATTTAAGACGCTCTAATGTCGGACTTTACAGCTTATAGCGTACAATATTTCGAACACATTTCGTTCATTAAAGCATTAAATGAAATTACTTTTGAAGAGTAAGCCTAGTGTTCCATGGACCGGAATCCTATCTCTTGAAGTATGACAGCACCTTTCCCTATTCACAAGTTAACTCTTTTTAAACCCATACTACTAACGAGTAGCACTGAACTTTATGGGTCTTCAGGAGTACTGTGCAATGAAATAAGCAAATTAACAATTTCACTGGAGCGTAGAAACCTTCTTTCTCTGATAAAGTCTCTACAACGCACAGTACCTCTGTCTTTCACTTACTTGATACTTGACACTTGAACGGCCCGTTCTCACTAGTTATGCAGGGCCCAGCGTAATCACCACTTTTCAAGAATTTGGTGGTTAAGCCATTGTGGTTCCCTGCAATCCCGAGTACAGCCTGGCCAAAGTCTGCCCAGGTCGTCACCACAACAGGGAGTTGTAGCCCTTGTGAATCAAAGGGATAATCTCTCAATCAGCTTTTTTAGAAATGCTCTTCTTATTAAACTATTCGACAAGAACCTAGCACTTAGGAACTGCAGTTTATCCCTATAATATTGATCACACTCATAGTTAACAGGCTT